TATATATATATATATATATTAAGTCTATAATTTTTTTTAAAATTAAAAATTACATTATTCTTTATTATATAAATTCAAATTAATGTATAAAATATTTTTAAAAGTATCCGTAATTTTAAATTAATAAAACGAAGTATAAAATATTTTTTAAATTTTTTTAAAACTTATAAATTTGATCTATATATAAAAAATTTTAATTTAACAATTAAATAATTAAATTTTTATATAAAACATGAATTATTGAATACAATTACTCTACTAAAATTTACTCATAAAATAAATAAATCTCTCGTGTTTCTTTGTCCCTCACATTGTACCATTATTGATGCTCAAAAATTTACCCTAAACCCTACTTAACAGGTCTCTGTGTTTAAGAGTTGAATTGTTTGTGGATGACCACATATACAAAATGAGTACTACTACAACCTCCGAAAGCAGAGGCCAAAAATTGTCTGAATAATTAAAAAATTATTATTTTTTAATTATTCAGACAATTTTTCGGTTTCCGTTTTCGGAGGATACAACATTTTCCATACAAAATTTCACCAACATTGGATACCTAATTTATTAAATGTGACAGGTGTCTCAAAAATTGCCTTGTTTCTTCGTGCAATCAACTCAGCCATCCAACTTCTTTCTGCATTTGACTTGACTTCATCTTCAGAGAGAATCGGTCAACAAATAAATTAAATTATCTAAACGGTTTTATACTACATATGGTCCAATTCATCAAATTTATAAAGAAAAAAAAATATCGATTTCAAAGATTTCAATTCACCTACTATAATAAGACCATGTCGCACCAACCATCATTATAGGCCATCACAATCGTTTTGATTATTTTATACATATAAAAAATGTTTAATAAAATCTTTCAGTGTTTATTTGATTTATTTTATTTCATTTCTGATCTTATAACCAATAAAATTTTATTGCCGAACACATTCTTTTCAAACCAAATCAGTTTTACACTTTTTCTTTTTCTCCAAAACTTTATCATTATAAAATATTATAAATGTAGCATAAAATCAAATCTGTGCAGCACAGACATTATATCTACAACCCTTTAAATTTCTAACTATCTTTCTACAACATACATACAATTTCATAACTAATTCTGCTGATATTATTTTTAAGGGTGTTTTCGACCAAAACGAATTGGGTCACTTTTAAATTAATTTGAAACAAAAATAAAGTAATACTAAATAGTGAGATGTAAATAAAACATAACAAAGTACAAGGAAAAAAAAAAGAGAGTACATTTTAGGTGGACACCTCAATTTAGTATATGACACCACCCTTGAGCTTTTATGAACCTATTCATTTTATTGATGCCATGATAATATTTATTCTTTGACTGGTCACATGTAGTTCCTGAATCTTTGAATCCTTCTAATGTGACATAACATAACATAACATCAAAAACACTAAAAAATGACGTTAACTTGTAATTCAAAATTCACAAGTAATCTTGCTAAAAGAAATGACACAGTCACATGAAAGAGCGAGGTTTTGCTGACGTATTTGACCAAGTCAGCACATTGTTTTCTTCCGATGAAACAAAAATAATAAATGGTTAATGTAAATTGTTTGATCCACTCTTAAATTGTTTAATGATTCTGCCATTTGCATACAAGACAAGATTCACACTATCTATGGACAATACCAATCAAATTTTTCAATAAATCGGTTCAACTTTATGTGGTAAATTTTGATCCAATCTATGGGGTATCCCTGGAATTGATGGCACCTTTATTTTTATTTTTATTTCACATGGAATCATTTTACTATGGAGTAGAAGAGGTAAGAACAACCACGTAAAGATCAACAGAAACAAAGAAAATTTTCAAACCAAAGCTACAAATAGGATCTATAGTTAAAATTTCTGCTCCATGGTAAAATCCCAATAGAGTTTCAAGCAAAGCTCTTTAAGAATCAATCGAACGAAAGGGTGATGGCACAAGCAACAAGTTTAACATCATCAAGAAAGGTTTAGCTAAGGTGAAAACATAAATTTCTCAACTACACAAGCAAGTTTATCACTCATACAAGCGCATGAACTGAAAAAGACTAATAGTCCATTTTTTATATGGGTTGAGGTTCATTTTAACTAAACGTACAATGCTTTTAGTATTGGTTTAGGACTTTACATGCAGTTCTTTTAGACCTTGTACTAACCTTGACAGCCAGGTTATGAATAGCATATTCATTCATTTGCTTCATGATGTAGAGATTAGCGTCAACCACAAAAATTCTAAGATTGAATACAAACTTACTTTTCACTTTGCCAAACTAGCCTGAATTCCTATGCAGACAATCACAATCTCACTCAGTAAACATGCTGCAACTTTAGAGATCCCTAAGACAGTTGTATGAAAATTCTAAATCGTGCTCCTCGTTCAAATGTTTTCAATAATCAACAAGTTAACTACTAAGCATGTTTCATATGCCTTTAATGGAGGAGCGATCACCAAGAGGAACTCTTACCACATATTTTTTGCACAAGAGAAATGCTAATTAGATACTTTTTAATACTATTTTACTAATAGGTAAAACTTATGTTTCTTTTTTTTTTTTTTAATAACTATGGTATTGGTATAAAATATCCATTTTTGGGAATAATGACTAAATCTTTGCCAAAGACCATAAGTGCACATAAAGTGAATATTTATTTCTCAACATAGTTTATTCCATATCAAAACTATAATTCAAATATCAGATAACTTGGTTGAAGAACACAAATTGTTATCACTTACATCAACTAATTTGGTAGGCAAAACTTATGTTGAACCCACTAAATGATGTGGAACGTGCTATCTTGAGCAATTCCTTGTTTGCAAACATTATTTCAAAATTCACTTGGCTACATTTCTGTGATTTATTTTTATTAATGTTCTATGTACTTTCTTTAACTTCTAACTTACGGTTTTTGGTTCTCCTAATTCTAGTACTTATTTAGACATATACCTTAAAAGTCTATATTTTATGAGCAAGATATCTAAGCTATAAAAGGTGGTCAAAACATTTACCTAAAAGAATTCTGGTGGCATAATTATGCTGCATATACAACTTGAGAATATCAGCATATCTATATTAGAAAATAATGATCTATCTATTTAGAAAAAATCTATAGAAACATGCCAACCAAGAACCTTTAAAATCTTCCCAAAATTCATATACAAGTACAGATGTCTAGAAGTAACGAAACTGTACAGTAGACTTGTAAAAGTAAAATGCTTATATATCGGTGACAAGAAGCACGTGCCTGCAAATAGCACTAAAGATCTAATAGACATGACCAGTATGTAAACTTCCATCTACATGGTCCATTGAAGAAACCAATTTCTGTTGTTGATCAGATCATGCATGGAAAATCTCGAGTTCCAATATGATAGTGATTCAAATTGAGAGTCATGCAAGAAGATTGAAATCTACCGAATGCATGATATACCATGACATATTACTAACCAGATGACAAATAGTATTATACACACAGCTGCATCAATTGCTAGAACAATGCGTACTTGGCGCCACCATTTCTTCCGAATGTTTTGAGGGCCTGATCTCATCCTCATTGAACCCGAATCCTTTTGCAAAGAGACTGATGCACCAGCACCACCTTGGCTAACACTATCCAAATTGCCTGAATCAATCCTTGCTCCTCTTTCTGTAGACTTTCGATGCTCCTCCAACTCAACATCTCTCATAGCAATCACATGATCCTTTACTTTCTTCTTCTCCGCCTTGTTAGATTTTCCCAATAATGGGGCTTTTGTTGAACTAGCACCTTCAATTTTTCCATTCAAATTACTTGGTGATGGAGATAGGTCCACATGAAAAGACGAGGAGGTTACATCTCTCCAATTACTACTACCATGCGATACACTCTCCAATGAAGTGATCAGACCGCGAATGACAGGAACCAGTTTTTCCTGAATGTGAATCGAATTCATGTTTGGCAAAAATCCTCTCGAACCCTTTTTAGCAAGCTTTCTAAATTCATCTCTAACATGCTCCAGAAACCGAAGAACTACCAGGTTACCAAGACCTTGATCAACAATTGTGAAGTAAACATACCCATCTTCCATAAAAAACCCATAAGTCCTTTTACCTACTGTCTCAAAATACCACCTGTGGAAAGGAGGAGACCTCTCCAAGCACAAGGCAGCAACATTCTCAACTTCTTGGTCTCCACCACTATACACATACAGAATGTTGTTACCCTTGGAAACACAACAGTAATAAACTTTATTTTGAATTGAATCCATCGTAAAATCAGTAAAAATATCCCCCAACCAGGTTGCAACCACACTTCTCTACAATACCAGGCCAACAAATTAGAAAAGTTACACCAATTTTGCTTCTCCCTTTTTCTGTATCTCAAACATTAACTTGACTTAGCTGAACACCAATATCTTTTTATTGTAAAATCAAACCCAAGTCTTCATGTTTCATCCCAATTGAAGAACCTAAGTAATCAAGATTTGGCAAAGGAAGAATCCGATAAACTCCTCAAGGAAAGAGACAAAAATCAAGCAAAGTGCAAGAACTTCTCTAGCTATGAAGTCAAGGGCCTGTAGGGAATATCAAAACAAATTCAGCACCTGATTATTAGTTACATGAACAAACACAAATCTTTTAATCAAAGAATAACTGCTGGTGGTAAAGCAACAACACTAAGCAACATGCAAACCAAACAACAAAACGTAACCCATCAATTAAATTCTCAGATAAACCCCATTAAATCTTTGAACCGAAGAAGACAACAATCACCCCAGATCACAAAAAAAAAAAAAAAAAAAACTTTAAATCTACTTAGACAGACAAGGGTATTGTACCTTAAAGGGTAGCAGCATTCACTCAGAACAACATCTGGAAAGAGGTTAAAAAAAAAGAAAACAATTCAGAATCTTCAACTGAAGTCAAAGATCCAAAACTACAAGCAAGTTGAAAATTTTAAAATAATAATAAAAATAAAATGACAACCCCATTTGTTTGCCCAAAAATGAGGTTATAAATCAAGGTGAAGTAGCACTAGTCCCAAATAGTGATCTTTGTTTTTTTGGGGGATAAAGTGTTTAAGGATTCTGAATTTGCAAGAGTGGAAGCATCAAAAGAACATACCTGATGGTGATGCATGTGCGGTTGTTGGGGATGGATGACATTGATTCAAAAGATGAAGTGAGAGAAGAAAGAAGGAAGAAAGAACATAGAGGGAAGGAAGGAAGGACGAAAATGCCACGGGCACAAACCGTGTAATGTGTAAATCTAACATGTCATGTTTTCTGCTTTTGGTTTTACCTTCAAGTTTATATATTGGTAGCTGGCAATGAATGATATTGCTATTTCTTTATTTTTCTGGCTTTCCATAATTTAACTATTTTATAAATTGTCTTATTTTAATGTATCTGGCCATAATTTTAATTATTTTTAGTTAATAATTAATTTTAAAGTGTATTTTCCATTTTTTTAAAAATCAAAATCTAATATTTTTGAGTATTTATTAGTTAGTGAAATTCTAAGTAACTTTAAAAAACTTTAAGTCATTGTTAATAAATTCTATACCATCTTCTGAAAAAGGAATATCATCTTCTAAAAGATATATTATACTTTAAACTATTTTTTTTTCTCATAATCATTTTTTAGCTTAGTTATTGTTCTGATTTTTGAAATATACATATTTTTTCTTTTAATTCCTAATTTTTTTTTCTTACCTTTTGGTCCCGGTAAAATACTAGATCTTTAATTATAATTTTTTAAACTAAATTACACCCTTTAATAAATTTAGTTAATTTAGTTGAAAATATTAAATTTTTTAATAATTTAAATTATTTTTCAAAAATTATCATTAACATCTCTTAAAATAATATTTTCTCTTTTAACTTAATCATTTTTATCTAATTAATTAATGTTTAAAATAGAAATATTTATATTTTTTTTTCAATTTTAATAAGAGTGGGAGTTTTTATCTAATTAATTTTAAGTAATTATTGTCTTTTGTTTAAAAGAATCATTAATTAAATAAACACATTTTAGAAAATATAAAATCAATGCAACTGACAATTAGAAGATAGTCATACAAAAAGGGCCAAGAAAGAAAAGTAAAAATGGTCTTATATTTAAGATAATACTAGAAATTATTTTTGTCTAAATTATATTTTTAGTCTTTTTATTTATTATTAGGGCTCAATTTAGTTTCATTATTTTTAAAATATTCAATTTGATTATTTAATTTTGTAAATAATATTTAATGATGTCTTTCAATCCAAATTGAGATTAACGGTATTAATGCAATTAGATGAAAAGATGACATTAAATATTTTTTTAAAAATTGGAGGATCAAATTAAACAATTTAAAAATAGTAGAACCAAATTGAACATTTTGAAAATAATAGATCAAAATGAATAAAAATTTATGTAACATTTTTTTGTTTAAATAAATTTGAATTTTCTTTTACTTGCCTTAATAAGATCATAAATGACAACAAATTGAATATTTGAAATTAAAAAGAAATGATCAAAAAATGAAGGAGATATCTAACAAAAGAGATTATTAAATAGTTAAAATAAAATTTAAATTTATCTAGTCAAAAAATTGTAGATAATTTTTTGTTCAATTCAATTCCTCTATTTATGAAATGTTCAATTTGGGCCCACTATTTTTAAATGATGTAATTTGATCCATTGATTTTCAAACAACATTCAATATTGTTATTCCATCTAATTTAATTAACGTCATTAATGACAATCTAAATGAAAAATAACATTGAACATTTAAAAAAAAAATAGAGGACCAAATCAAACCATTTAAAAATAGTAGGATCAAATTGAATCTTAAAAATAAATAAAGAGACCAAAAGTATAATTTAACCTTTATTTTAGTCCCTAGTCCCTACCGTGAGTTTCTTTTCATTATTTTTGATAATGTGTCAAACACTTGGACACCATTTCAAGTGAGTTTAAGCTACTTGATGTTTAACACGTCATTCAAAATAATGAAAAAAGTCATAATAAGGACTAAAAAAATTGCAATGACCAAAAGTTAAGCAAAAAAAATTCAAAAATCAAAAAGCGAAAAATAGGTATATTTCATAAAAGAAAAATATTTGTCTTATTTATTCCTTTTTTTATTTAGTTTTTTTTTATGTTCTCTACTTGATAATTAACTTTTCATGTAAAATTTTCACTCTTTTTTCAATAAATCACCTATTATGTTTTATTTTTATTTTTATTTTAAAAAGTAGAGAGACACAAAGGGTAACACTTTAAGTTTTCTAAAAATAATAAAAAGAAATTTTTAATTAATTAAATGTATTTTATAAAAAGTATCATGGATTTTGTGAAAATAATTAGATTAAATAAGAGTTAATTTTGGATTATATTATTTTTAATATTTTATTTTAATTAATTAAAGGAAAGGATGTGTCTGTTAACTTGGGTTAGTTTAGTAAATCAAGTGAGTTAGGTGTAGATTAGAAAGTTTTAAGAAAGGTTACAGCTATATTTTTTTTAATAATTTTTATGCTTCTTTCATCTTTCTTTTCTCTCTTATGTTAGAAGCTCACGAGGAGAACGTAGAGGTTGTAAGAGGCCATTTTGGAGATCTTTGTCTTTCATCTAGTGCTAATCGAGGTAGGAGAAATTGAGTTATCTCATTTTGAAGTGTGGGTTAAATGTTGGGTAGTAGGATTTCCTCCGATGATATTGTATGTGTTCTTTGTTGCTTTGTAGGGGAACTTTGGAAACCTTCTTTGTTTGATTATGTTTGATGGGATAGTTATTTATATGTTATATGTATGCTTCCTTATTGTTCCTATTGATATGAATTGTGATCTCTATGATGAATTTGATGGTTTTGATGTGAATGAGAAACCCTTAAGTTCTTGTAGGAAACTGCAAATTATAGAGCAAAATGGAGATTGATGTAATTGGATGATGTTTGTAAAACTGATGTGCCCTTAAACATGGTACTGACTACGCTAGGTGCAAGATCTCCTAGACTCTATGTGGTTATTTCGCTGGGTGTGAGCATGGTCACGTAGAACATAAAACCTCTATAGAGCAATGTTGTCTTTTTATGGGTTTGGTGCTAAGTGAACCTCGTCAAATGCCATTTTGAGAATGATTAAGGACTTATATTTTGTTGTTTATGGTATTTTAATAGTGTTTAGCATAGGAACATGATCCTTGGCTTTTAATGTAAAGTGAGAATAGTTAAGTGATGGATCAAGTACTTAGTTACAATTGATCTTTGATTTGACACAACCAAAATTATTGCATAGCCAAAATTACTACAATATTTTAGAAATCATATTAATTTTGTAATAATATTTTTGACTGTGCAATAATCAAAATTATTTAAAAAATATATACAATTATATTGATAATAGTTTCTACCTTAGCAATCAAATGCGTGAATGAATCCCAATTGCAAGAACAAGTTTTTTTCTTGAGAAATTTCACATTGGTCATCTTTTTGCCACCCCATAAATTTCTTATTATGTTGATTGCAAATGCAAATCCTTAAATGCGATTATGGTTCAACAAATTATGGTATTTCAACAAATACCCATAAGACCACATTTCACAGTAAAGCCCCTAGACCATTTACTTGTTTGGTTCATAAAAAAATATTTATATATTTATTATTCTATTCGCTAATTATATTTTTAGTCTCATAATCTTTATATTTTAAGTCTGAATTAAATAAAAACTTTTTTCAATTCGATCCAATTATAGTGAGATAAAAACTTTAAATAAAATTTTTACTTTTTTTTTTTTATCATAACTTTTATATTTTATTCAAAATTAATGTCATTAAGCATTTTTATGCTTAATAAGAGAATGAAAAATTATACATCGATAATATATAATAAGTTTGTTGACTTATACAATAATTTTTTTTAAAATCATATAAATAATGATATTTAATTAGTAAATTAATAGTGATAAAAATTTACACTAATAATGCATAGTCATTAAACATGTTTTTATAATATATTATTTACACTTTCTATCTCTATTTTTCTTTATTTCTGTCTTCTTCTTTTTTCCACTTTGGCCAACGGAAGAAACTTTAGCAATACTAAAATTTGAAGCCCAAGTAGCGTGGGAAAGCTCGTTGAAGCTTTTTAAGGGATTTTCTTCCCCTTTCTGGAACACCCTATTCAGAACAATATTGATCCAGAATAACTATTTTAGAAAATGTGTTTATAGTTTTTGTCTTAGTCACTGTGACTTGCAAATCCTTCTTATAGTCTCTAATCTCTATACATTCACTCCTCTCACGACCCAGTAAAACAAATGTATTTCTTCCATGTTACCTAGTATATTTATGGGACCTCAAAATGATAATCACAAACTTTAAAAAGCTACAACTCGAACCCATCTCAAAAAGTCTCACGTGTATTGCAACGTCACTTTGCAATAACACCTACATAACCATGGATTTTAGCTTATGTTTGCCAAAACAATTATCTCATTAGTGATGAAAGCCTTGCTCCCATCAATCATTTTTTTGGTTCACCAATGTGCAAACTAAAACTTCAAGTGACATTTTGCTCACATACTCATTGTCTATCGTGAGCCTAAAGTAACAAGACACAACCATGAGAAACCATCACTGTCCCCACAATATTCTGGAACAAGCAATCCAGAATAAGATATGCAGATGTTGTATGAGATGACATAAATCTTTTAGGTGTTGTGATGCAGCAAGATATTGTGTAAAGCACAGTAAATATATTGGATTGGATAATGAGTAGTACAAGTTACATTTTTGTGTGAAAGGGCTAGAAATGAACACCACTAACTTCAAAGTCTACTCCATCTGTTTTTTGGGTTGGTAGACCTCCCTTTGTTGGGTGCAGATAAGATAACATCTACACTTGATAACCAAGCCCTACTTAACCTTCCAAATTAAGTCAAACAAACATTTAGCGGGTACCAGCAAAGTATGCCAAAGGTCCAACAATAGCACCGTTGATGTAGGTTGCAGGCTCAGAATGACTGTAATCACTGCGGTCATCTGGAAATCCATCATTTTGGTTTGGACCTCCAACTACGGCTCCAACCAATATGTTAGGATTGGGATTCATTGAGTGGAAAAATGGTTGGAAACCTCCATCACAACCTATAGTTTGTGGATGAGCTGCAATTGAAGGCAGGGAAGACCCTCTGTGGTGAACTCTCTTGGGAAAGTATGGACCATAGCCTACCATGTAGGACATTCTTAATGGGTTTTCACCTAATATGTAGTCTACCTGAAATTTTACCACAAATT